TCTGCAGATAACTAGTATCCTTTTGACAAACAGCTTTTGATTTGTTACTGGGCCTCAGAAGAGACTGGACACTTAACCACAGGCCATCATTAACCTGTATTATCTAACCCACCCAGTCACAAATTTGGATGTGCACAACAGCACTCTATCATTAAGCGGAAGTGGTTTATACAAGATTGGGATCAAATAGAATCTGAAGAAACAAATGGGTCATATGAGGAAGTGGCCCAACTGCCTATGACCCCTACTCCTGTCACATTACCTTTCTTCTCCCAGTCTGCATCTTTGACCTCATAGGGAGATCCTTATGATCAGTTGACTGAGGAAGAGAAACCTTGTGCTTGCTTTATAGATGGTTCTGCTGGATACGCAGGCACCAGTCTGAAGTGGACAGGGAGCAGTATTGCAACCACTTTCTGGGACCTCCATGAAGGACAGTGGTAAAGAAAACTTCTTCCAGTAAGCAGAACTTTAGGCACTGCACATGATTGCTTATTTTGCTTGTAAGGAGAGATGATCAGATTTGTCACTGTATACTGAGGCCAAAGGTTTGACTGGATGATCAGAGACTTGGAAGGAAGCTGATTGGAAAATTGGTAACAAAGATATATCAAGACAGTTATATCAACTTATCTCTCCAAATGGTCCAAATAAGTGGATATATTTGTGTCTCCTGTGAATGTTCACCAAAGTATAACCTTGGCAGAGGAGGATATTAAAATAAACACTGGACTTCAAAGCACAAGGTTGATGGTTAAAGCCCACCAATTGCTTATGGGATAAAGATAAGGTTTTCTGCTCCCACAAAGATTTACAACCTTGGAACCCCTATACAGGGTTAGTATAAGTCAGAACCAACTCGACAGTACTTAAAAACAACAAGAAGATAGGGTGATGGGTACACCAGTCAACCTCTTTCCCTAGCTACACTTGTACAATGGGCTCATGAACAAAGGGGTCATTGTGACAGGGATGAAGATTAGGCATAGATTCAACAACATGGACTTCCACTCACCAAGGCTGACTTAGCAACAGCTATTACTGAGTGCTGAATCTGCAGCAGAGATCAACAATGACTTCTTTATATGGCACCATTATTAGTGATGATCAGCTAGTGACCCAGTAGCAGGTTCATTACATTAGACCACATCCATCAAGGAAATGACTTTTTTTTTTTCTTACTAGAATCAACTATTTGAATATAGATTTGCTTTCCAGCATGCAATGCTTCTGCCCAAACTACCATCCATGGATTTATAGAATGTCTTATCCACCATCTTGGTATCTCACAGAGTATTGTCACATATTAAGAAAGTTAATCCACAGCAAATTAAGTACAGTAATGGACCAATGATCATGGAATTCACTGGTCTCACGATGTCCTCTATCATTCTAAACAAGCTTCTTTGATACGAAAATGAAATGATCTTCTAAGGACACAATGTTGATGCCTGGTGTGGTGCTGCAGGACAAGCACTGGACCACAAGGTAGGTTTGAACTCCAAGGTAGACAGTTCAAATCCACCAGAAGCTCCTCAGAAAACCCTATACAGGGTTGCTATGAGTCTGAACTGGCTCTATAGCACTAAACAATAACAACAAAGTGACAATACCTCACAGGATGGAGACGATGTATATATATGCTCTAGACCAGAGACCAACATCTGGTGCTGTTTCTCCCATAGCCAGGATTAATGGGCCTGAGAATCAAGGAGTAGAAAGACGTGTGACCCTACTCAATATTACTCCTAGTAACCCCTTGCAAAAATTTTGCTTTCTATTTCTGTAACCCTATGCTCTGCAGGTCTAGAGGCCTTAGTTCTAAAGTGAGGAATGCTCTCATCAGGAGACACAACACTGATCCCATTGAACAATTAGTTAAGAATGCCACCCTACCACTTTGGACTCCTCATACCTCTGGGGCAACACACAAAGAATGGAGTTACCATATTGGTTAATGTGACTGATCCTGATTACTAAACAGAAATTTGATTGGTATTATATAGTGGACATAAAGAACAGTATGTCTGGAATATAGGAAACCTCTTAGGTTTAAAGTTGTTGTTGTTGTTAAGTTCTTTTTGTTGGTTTCATAGCACTTATAGTATACATGTGATTAAAGTTAGTGGTATATTTTTGTTGTTGTTGAGTGCCATTTCATATTGACCCTCTATAGGGTTTCCAAGGCTGTTAATCTTTAAAGGAGCAGAAAGCATCATGCTTTTTTTTCCATGGAGCAATTGGTGGGCTCAAACCAACAACTTTGTATTTACCAGTCCAGTGCTTATCCTACAGTGTGTGTCACAACAGCGATTCAATTCTGCCAAGACTACAAATGGGGCAATGCAAACCAGGCAAAGAACTCCAACCAGCTGAGATGCTTGTCGAGGGCAAAGGGAATACAGAATGGTGGTAGAAGAAGATAGCACTAAATAACAGCTACAACCACATGACCAGTTGTAGAAACAAGGACTTCAGTCATTTTTATTTTTTCCCTTTTTTGCTCTATATGTATGTTTGCGTGTATATGAATATACTCATATATATTTCACATATATATACAATATATTGTTGTTGTTCAGTGCTGTCGAGTCGTTTGACTCACAGTGACCCTGAATAGGGTTTACGAGGAGTAGCTGGTGGATTTGTACCATCGACCTTGTGATCCAGTGCTTATTCTTTATCACCACACCAAGACTCCATGTAATATGTAATAGAATATATAATATATGGTGATGTGCCGTGGAGTCAGTTCTGACTCATAATGACCCTGCATAGGGTTTCCAAGGCCGTAAATCTTTATGGGAGCAGAAAAAGTCTCAACAGTCTCCTGTGGAACAGCTGTTAATTTCGAACTGCTGACCTTGAGGTTAGCAGTCTGATTCATAACTATTACACTACCAGAGGTCTAATATATGTGTTTTATTTGCTTCCTTTTCCCACTGTTGTTGTTGTTAAGTGACACCCAATCAGTTCCTATTCATACCAACTTGTATAGGGTTTCTGAGGTGCAGCTGATGGGTTTGGATTGCTGAACTCGTGGTTAGCAGTCTAGTGCTTATCCTACAGTGCCACAAAGGACTCTAGTACTTATAAGAGGTAAACAGGGCTAGTGAGCTTACAGTAGTAAGTTAGTTGTATCATGTTAGGGGCAAGTATGACTTTATAATTGTTTCTATTTAAAGATTATGTGTGGTTTAAGGAGATGTGTACAAGTGGCAAGTTGATAAAAAAAAGTGGGCTGTGATGATTAAGGTTAAGTGTCAACTTGACTAAGCCATGATTCTCAGTGATTTGTCAGATATTATGTAATCATTCTTCATTTTATGATCTGATGTGAGCAGCCAAGCAGTTGAAAGGGGAAATTCTCTGGTTATGACTTGCATCCAGTTTATGGATGTTCTAACAAAGTTCACCCTCTCTCAATCCTGCATTTGACTCATCATCTTCTAACCTCCAATTCTCAGGAAGTAAGATAGCAGTCTGTGGTCTGACCTGCTGATTGTATATTCATCAGTCTCTGTATCCATGTGAGTCAGGAGAAGACTCCCATCTGATGCCTCCAGAACTCTGTCTCACACTCTCTCTATATATATATTCATATATATGTTGTTAAGTGCTGTAGAGTTGGTTCCTACTCATAGTGACCCTTTATAGGGTTTCCAAGGAGTGGCTGGTTTGTTTATCTACAGAGCTACATCAGGACTCCCATATAGATGTATGTGTATATATATTACGCACAATTTTTTTTCTAACTGACTTTGCCTAAGAAAATAGCATGCACCTTACAACATTAAAGTGAGAATAAAAAGTAAAACTAAAAAGAGGTTTCCTCACTACTTTGTGGACTTGAGACATCAAAATAAACCTGTGAATCTGGAGCACCTAGACATGAATCAATAGAAGTAAGGAATGCTAAATGTTTCTAAGTAAATCACTTCAAAAAGCAACCTAAGATAAATTTTAATCCAAAAACCACTGAAAATAGTTACTGCAAAGGATATTGATCAATTTCCATCCAAGTGTCATGGACACCATACTGAAATGGCCCAATTTTACAGAGTTAGGGAGTAAGGGAGTACTCTTTGAATTTATCATCACTTGGAATAGACTTCACAGCAACTAGCAACTGAAAATAATTGTTGTTGTTAAGTGTCATTGAGTCAGTTCCATCTCATAGCAACCCTGTATAGGGTTTCCAAAGGGCTATTGATATGTTTGAACCACAGACTTCGTGTTAGCAGTCTAGTGTTTATCCTAAAATGCCACACTAGGACTCGAAGATAAATACATAAGCATTGTCAAATCAAAGACTTGAACCAGGTCAACATGATCTAGCTCTTGTTGCTAAGTGCCCTAGAGTAGGTTCCAACTCTGGCTCTAGACATCTTTTAAAAAGACTCCATTTGCTGAAGAAAGATAACCCACTTTCTCCTTATATTCAAAATCTCCCTAAGAATACAATTCTACTTCCTCCCACAGCAACTTTTTCCGTGACATGCTCCATTGTCAGCAAGTTCTTTGCCTCCACGCTGACTTCCTCTCCTATTCATGTAAATTGTCTTTGGTTTTAATTAGATTTAATAAGCCACTGGGAAGTGCAGTGAGGGAAACAGGGAGCAAAGATTACACAGTGTGGGCTTACTCTTGCATGTCGAGTACAGCATTTCTCTAGAACGCTCAGATCCTCCTAAGGCTGGGAAAATAATGAATGCCAAGCCTATGGAAAGACATGCTGCTGCTGCCCAAATGTGAAATGTGGGTGTAGAAAATCATTTACAGAGAGTACCGAAAAAGAGAAAATCAACCCAAATCCCCAACAGCTGCAAATAACAAAGTGTATGAATCTGTTACCTTGAATGAACTCTGATTTCCTGCTCACTGATGGCAGGGTCCTGTTGAGCCCCAGGATCCTATCCAGGTGGAACGCAAACACCTCACTCATGTCTAAGGGCTGTTTGAGCAGCCCACAAGGACTAGAGCCACAATGGGGCACAGAGTCTGCTGCACTCTTCTCCAATACCAGCAAACGTGCATTGCTCTTAGAGGTTATGGACTGGAGGCCTGCCACTGAGCTGTCCGCCAACAGGCGCATTCTATAGATGTCTTCTTTGCTCAGCCATGAGGGGGCGCTCTCACTGTAGATTCTGATATTGCTCTCCCTGGTCTTGGGCAGCTGGAAGTCCGGGCCCCCAGCTTTCACTCCTGGACCCCGCACCAACCTCCAGGATTGCTCCCCAACTTTGACCAGGTTTCCTTCCCGGGCATATCCAGGAACTTTAACACCTGCCATCCTTGCAGCTTCCTCTGGCTGAAAGGATGGTCCTGCCAAAGCTTCTTGTCCCAGAGCCGGAGATGCCACTGCATACTTTTTTCTGCGTTTTGGCTTTACTGTGCCACGGATGTTGGCGGGCTTACTGCGCTTAGAGCGTAGGGTAATGTACACGACATTGGGCTGCAGGGTGGTCACATTACCCTGGGATTCAGGAGGAGCAAGGGTACCATCCAGGGGTATCTCTGGGAAAGGTGCCTCAGCGGCGTTGCGGCTCTGGTGCTGACGCTTCTCTGGTGCCCGCCTCTGCTGGGGGGAGTTGCGACCCACCTGGCTCACCAGGAAGCCCAGGTAGATGGCACAGGCAGTGCCCAACAGAAGGTTCCTTCGGGTCCTTGGACGCCTACTACTCCAGAGTTTACGCACCGTTGGGACGCATAGGGTGCAGATGAACCAGTTTATGAGTTGTCCTGGCTTGTCTGGACAGGTCATTTCTCCGCAGCATCCACATGTTGAACAGAGTTTAAAGTCTGCAGTTGATTCCTGTTGGCATGATACATGGTTTCCTGATTTCAGCTGTCCCGTCCTCTTTGGTATCTAAGTAGCCTCCAGAGGATAACAATAGAAGTAAAGGTTCGGTGATGAGGTTTTAAAGTCCTCTCAGGTTCCCCAAGAAATGCAGCTTGTTTCTGGGAATGAATGAAAACAGTTTACTGAGGTACAGTCACACCTCAGTCCCTTTTCAAGAATAAAGAAAACAAGTAACACTTTCCTTTCGTAATTGTCACCACTAAATGTTAGGAGGGAATTTTTTTTTTTTTTAAGGAAAAAAAATGAATGCATAGATTTAATATTCGGTTCTAAGTATTGAAGAGAAACCACAAAACCAAGAATATTTTCTAAATTTTAGCTAGAGTCATATAAGTAGGTTCTGAAGGAACAGCATTAAAATTTAACAACCGGGACTTTTCCTCTTTAATTTCAGAAATAACTTACAAGTAATGGATGATTTTTGAAATTCTATGGTTGTCTCCTATTTAGTTTCAGAAGTCCTACACCAACTAACTGAGTCTAAATTCCAAATATTAGCATTCAATTTCAGAAGCATATTCCTTTAATCTAGTAGTACATTTTTTCTTCACAATACGTTCCATAATCTTACATTAAGATTTAGTATAATACAACACCATAAACACCCATATATCATTGACGCAGTTATATTCATTCAAATACACACCCTTTTTTTCCCTTTTTCTTTCCAACAAACTCAACTGACAGAAAAGAAAACAATCTCTAGCTCTAGTTTTTCACTGTTATTAAAAGAAGAAGAAATTCATAAGCAGCCTTACTTACGTAGCTGGCCCCATGCGTGGCTCCAGGAAGAATGTAGTCCCTGATTCTAATTCAAAGAACTTTTCAAGGCTGAGGCATGTAAGTAGAACATATTTCATGTTCAAGATTTTTCCTCATTTCAAATATTTCAGTACAGTTCTAAAAGCTCCTTTGAACACTACTGATTGCAAAGAAAAACAGTTACTTATAAGGTGATTACTGATAGCTCTGTTTTAAACCGTTTACTTTTCTAAACAGTTTAAAGCATAAACTTCTATCTTAAATTCCGGAGCTAAAAAAAAAAAAAGGCCATACTGAATCCGTTTTCATTCAAATAACTTTCCACTTATCTTTAACCCCCGGGAGCCCTCTAGTGTCCTGTTTGCAAACAGCGTCAAAAATGTCACTTAATGGAGTTAAAAGAATCAAGAGTGTTTGCTTAACTTGATGGAATGGAAGCTGCCAAATTAAACACCTTGTGAAATAAGAAATGACACCACTCTTTGTCTTTCCATGTCTCTGGGGGTTAGAGCACCAGGATTCCACTACTTACCTTATGATCTTTCGCGTTTACAGGGTAACATATGTCTTTCAAAAGTTCTGAGAAGATAAGGAAGGCCTTGTTGTTGTTGTTAAGAGTTATTGAGCTGGTTCCAACTCATATCGACCTTGTATAGGGTTTCCAAGGAGTGGGTTTGAACTATCAACCTTGTGGTTAACAGTCCAGTTCTTATCCTACAGGATCACACCATAATTTCAAGGAATGCCTGTTGTTGTTAGGTGCCATCGAGTTTTTTCCGACCCATAGCGACCCTGTATAGAGTTTCCGAGGAGCGGCTGATGTGTTTGAATCACCAACCTTACCATTCAAACCGACTTTTCAGTCCAACCCACAATGCCACAGCAGGACTTCAGTAAGGTCTGTTGTTGTTGTGTGCCCTGGAGTCGATTCTGACTCATAGCAACCCTGTACAGAGTTTCCGAGGCTGTAAATCTTTATGGGAGCAGAAAGCCTCATCTTTCTCCTGCGGAACAGCTGGTAGTTTCATATTGCTGACCATGAGATTAGCAGCCCGATTCATAACCACTACACTACCAGAGCTCCTAGAGGTTGATAAAAAAGGTAACAAAGAGTTAACACAAATGAGAAAGAAAATAGAACAGTGAGATAAAAGTATGTATAGATAGGGAAAGATATTTATGGTGTGCAGTACCACAGTTCAACCGTTCACAAAAAGAAGCTGTGGATTCCCTCTGATTGGAGGGCTTAAAAAAAAAAAAAAAAGCTGACAATCGGCTTACATTGTTTGCATGTCCTGGCATAAAGGCAGAGGTTGATTACCTCAAGGTTTCACTTAGGTTTATTCTATTTGCTACTGTGGCAAATAGAATCAGAAAGCAAGAAAGTGACAGGGATTTTTTCCCCCTCTAGAAAAAAAGGTTGTGATACTGGGGATGGATAAGAGATTAGTATAATCTATAAATTCAGAAATAACCTACTAGAATACTAAAAGTGCCATGGACTGCCAAAAGAACCAATAGATCTGTTTTGGAAGAAGTGCAGCCAGAGTGCTCCTTGGAGGCCAGGATGGCTAAGCTTCGTCTCTCATACTTTGGACATATTGTCAGGAGGGAACAGTCGCTGGAGAAGGATGTCATGCTGGGTAAGATAGAGGGTCAGAGAGAAAGAGGAAGACCCCCAATGAGATGGATCGGCCAGGTGGCATCATTGATGGCGTCAAATGTGACAGCGGTAGTGAGGTTGGCCCAGGATCAGACATTGTTTCGTTCTGCTATGCATGGGGTCCCTATGAGTCGGTTCCGACTTGATGGCACCTGACAACAACAACAATAACCTAAAAAATTATGTTTTACAATCACAATTTAAAAAAGGAAGAATCAGATCATATTTAAAAGGAAAGTATGAACTTACATGTGATAAAATATGAGAAATTGTAATAGAAGTGTTAATTCAATACTCTTAAACTCAAAGCTTTCTTCCTCAAGTTCTGCCAAGGAGGGAGAAGAAGGCACAATTCTAATTCTGACAGTGGCCTAAAAGTAATGTACACCTGTAGGTTTTAGCTGAACTTCAGGAGACTTTAGATATCAAAACAATATTTTTTATGCTACAAAAGTCTAGAAACATACTTTCATAGCACTGAATTCTTTTATAATTAGTAAATGTAACTTCTCAAGAAATAAATGACACCAAAGGTTTGTTTTGGGGGTTTTACATTATTTTGTTTTGTTTTTGTAATTGTCTTACTATTTTCACATATTCAGAAGAATAACTAACCTGGATCTGTAAAAACAAAAACTTTTGTCAGGGTTCAGGTTGTAATATGATTTGACCATATCCAAAACATACTGTCAGTAGAGAAAGGCTAAGATGAGTTTGAGCTGCCACCCTTGTGGTTTACAGTCCAGTGCTGATTCCTTGACCATTTTGAACCAGACAATCATATGGCTTACAATGCTAAAAATGACAGATTTAAGAGGAATGATGTTACATTCATCATTAAAAAGAGTATTTCAAGATCTAGCTTGACATAAAATGCTGTGATAGGATAATACCCATAATCCTATAAGGAAGACAAGATAAAATTAATATTATTCAAAGTTATGGACTAATTATTAAAACCAGTATTGAAGAATTCTACCAACCTCAGTCTGAAATTGATCAAACATGCTTTCCAGATGTATTGATAATTGCTGGTAATTGGAATGCAAAAGTTGAAAACAAAGAGGCAGGATTGGAAGTTGAAATGTATGGCCTTGGTGATTTAAAAAAAAAAAAAATGGCATAATAGAAATTTGCCAAATGAACAACTTATTCATTTACAAATACCTTTCTTCAACAAGATTTGGAAACTGTACATGTGGATCTGAAGAGCTGGAATACACAGGAATCAAATTAGCTCTGCTCCAGAAAGATGGAGAAGATCAATATCATCAGCCAAAACAAGACCAGGTCCCAACTGTGGAACAGACCATCAATTGCTCATATGAAAGTTCAGGCTGAATCTGAAGAAAACTAGTACAAGTCACAAGTCCCTAAGACTCAAAATAAGACTTTGAGTATATCCCACCTGAATTCAGAGACTGTCTCCAGAACAGATTTAACATTTAACACTAATGACTGAAGACCCAAGGAATTGTGGAATCAAGGACATCATCCAAGAATGAAACAAAAATTCATTAAAAATACAAGGAAGAAAGGCAAGACCAAAATGAATATTAGAAGAGACTCTGAAACTTACTCTTACACATGGAGTAGCTAAAGTGATTGGGAAAATTCATGAAGTAGAATATTTGAACAGAAAATTTCAAAGTTGTTGTTGTTAGGTGCCATTGAGTCAGAACAGATTCACAGCAACCCTATGTATACAACAGAACAAAACACTGTCCAGTCCTGGGCCTACCTCACAATTGTTGACACGCCTGAGCCCATTGATGCTGCCAGTTTGCCAATCCATCTCACTGGGGGTCTTCCTCTTTTTCTCTGACCCTCCATCTTAACCAAACATGATATCCTTCTCCAGCGACTAGTCCCACCTGACAATATGTCTGAAGTATGAGAGACGAAGTTTGGCCATCCTGGCCTCCAAGGAGCACTCTGGCTGCTCTTCTTCCAACACAGATCTGTTTGTTGTTTTGGCAGCCCATGGTAGGTACTTTTAATATTCTCCTCCAACACTATAACCCAAAAGGATCCATTCTTCTACCGTCTTTCTTATTCACTGTACAGCTTTCACATGCATATGGTAACTAGAAAAGACAAAGTTAAGTCTTCTAAAGACCTGAAGTTAGAAAACTAAAAAGGAAGAACTCTAAACTAAAAACATGGAAGAAAAAAATACAAGTTCAACATACCATATCACGGTGATTCTGTACAATATGGCAGCACTAGACTGTGAATCACAAGGTAATTGATTTGAGCACACCAGCTGCTCTAGGAGAAAGATGAGATTTTTTGCTTCTGCAAAGATTTAAAGCTTCAGAAATCCTATACAGGGTCTCTATGAGTCAGAACCTACAAATGGAACGTAACAGCAACAACACCAAGGACAAAATATTGAGTGATACAATAAGCACCAAAAGAAGATGGACTGAATACACAGAATCACTGACCAAAAATAATTGGTTGGCATTCAGCA